AATAAATCATTAGCCTAACAACAACTAAAAAGTTAATAATAACCTCAAATGGCTCAACAACTACTAGCTATATACAACTGTGGAGAATTAAACACTACCACAATGAGTATTAAACTTCTTTTCATAGTATTTGAACTTGAGACCTCACACTATAAAAAGGTGCTACACAATCACTGGGTCAAAAGCTTTGATTGAATAAAAGTTAAAATATAAGGAATCAAGATAAAATTTGAATAAAACTTAAAAGGAGAAAGTGGTTATCGTTATTTATGAGTTTTTTTGGCTGATATTTATTAGCCAATAAATAAATCAAGCATAAAAATATGGCAAATTTGGCTCCCATAAAATTTGATTTAAACAATATTTAGTTTCCTTTTTATAAGTAATTCATTAGTCGTATGAATAAAAAATGACATTATCAAAATTTTAAAGTGTTTACACCTATATTTTCACATAATTTGCATTATTTTTGGTTCCTTTAATTCCCATTTTCGGTCAATTTTACTTAACATAAATAAACGAATGGTTTAAATTAAAAATAATTTTAAAATTAAAGTTTAAATTAATAACGTTAAAAATTAAAAGTTTATTTTATTATAATAGTCAAACTCTATAATTTTTGTTTATTTGTAATTTCTCATTCCTTTTATGTTTACAATAATGTTTTGAAAGTTGAACCATTGAGCAAGTTAAAAAAGGGACCGGATTAAGGAATCTTGGAAGTTTGCTCTGTTGCTGGTTGCATTCTGCTTTTGGAATGAAACTTTGAGATAAGGTTTTTGTTTACTCTTTGGTTGGTGTGAGGACATAATTTTTGAATGACAACACGTGGCCGAGGTGTCATTGAAGTACCAGCGAAGGTGCCACGTGTCCTGGTCATGATGCTGAGGTTATCTGCGCTAGTACCGGAATCCGAGATAAGCGGATAAGGGACAAGAGTCCTAGAATGGGAGAAGATTTCAGTTTGGGTAAAGATGAGACTCTTAGAGAGTTTATCCTAATCCTACTGGGAGTCCAAGGTTAGCAGTAATCCTAAGTTCATTAGAGCTAGGCTTCTATTGGGACTAGAATTATGTTGGCTATAAAATGGAAGCACCCCCATGGGTCTAAGGTATGTCTTTTATGCTTTTGATATTCTGTCTTGTGAATTAAGCTCTTTTGATTATCTTTGAGAGATATTGAGTACTGACTTGATCGTCAGAGTGCCCCCGGGTGGACGAGCCACCGCGGGATTCTCATCTTTCTGTGACAGGTCGTTCGGGCTTAATCTATTCTGCCGGTGTTCTCCAGTTGAGTACTAAGTTGGCAGTGTGGTCGGAAATTGACACACACAATTTGGCGCCGTCTGTGGAAATGAAAGGAGAATAGATGACCAACGACAGACCGAAAGAGAAGGTTGAGGACGACACCCCTACTGAGAGCGGGAAACATATTGACCTTGGCGTCGAAGAAGACAACTACAACGAAGAAACTTGTGATAAGAATCACGGAGTAGAGGACGTCGGCCAGGAGGGCGGCGTGTCGAAGAAATCAGACCAAAGTAAGTATTATAACGAAGACGACCTCCAGCCACCGTTCCCGTCACAAGATACGCTGATTCCAACAGCCAAGAAAGATACCCAGGCAGGGGGGCAGACGACAACTCCTACGACTTCTCAGCACGATAGGACCAAGGAACATTCTCACTGGCCTTTAAGGGAGGTCGGACGAGGAGAATCAAGAAGGAGAGATTCACAGAGGACACATCGCACCAAGGAAGCTGACTCCAAAGAACATCGGTATGTTCAGGGGAAGGACCTCTATTTCGACGCGACCAATGGAGGGAGGTCCAAAAGGACTTGCAATGACATAGGAAGTAGTGCACCAAAGAGGTTGAAATCCGGAGTTAGCCGAGCTCCTGGACGAACCAATGAGGATATGAGGGATTACCTCCAGAGAAAGCGACAAGGTGCCGTGGTAACCTCACCTGTCAAGCCGAGATAACACTGGATATGAGAAGACAAGAGCTCAGCCTAAGTAAGCCGATCTCGGATTCCAGATCTCGGATCCCAGATCCTAGAAGACAAGATCTCGGCCTAAGATGATTAAGTCCGAGAAGAGAAGAGTTTACCGAGATTATGTTTAATACTTGTTGAAATTTGTGGACAATTTACAAGTTGAAGTTAAACCGAAATCACTGTTTAACACTTGTTGAAATTTGTGGACAATTTACAAGTTGAAGTTAAACCGAAATCACTGTTTAACACTTGTTGAAACTTGAGAAAGTTTATAAGTTGAAGTTAAACCAGGGTCATGATTAAAGGAAGGAATGATATAGGTTCCATCACCTCAGGATGCCGAGGTAATAGAACCTAGGGGGCAGTTGTGAGGACATAATTTTTGAATGACAACACGTGGCCGAGGTGTCACCGAAGTGCCAGCCGAGGTGCCACGTGTCCTGGTCATGACGCTGAGGTTATCTGCGGTAGTACCGGAATCCGAGATAAGCGGATAAGGGACAAGAGTCCTAGAATGGGAGAAGACTTCAGTTTGGGTAAAGATGAGACTTTTAGAGAGTTTATCCTAATCCTACTGGGAGTCCAAGGTTAGCAGTAATCCTAAGTCCATTAGAGCTAGGCTTCCATTGGGACTAGGATTATGTTGGCTATAAAATGGAGGCACCCCCATAGGTCTAAGGTATGTCTTTTATGCTTTTGATATTCTGTCTTGTGAATTAAGCACTTTTGATTATCTTTGAGAGATATTGAGTACTGACTTGATCGTCGGAGTGCCCCCGGGTGGACGAGTCACCGCGGGATTCTCATCTTTCCGTGACAGGTCGTTCGGGCTTAATCTATTCTGCCGGTGTTCTCCAGTTGAGTACTAAGTTGGCAGTGTGGTCGGAAATTGACAGACACAGTTGGTATCTCAGTGTTGTTCTAGTGGTGGGTTGGACTGTTTGGGAATATTTGCTAACGTTTATATTTATAAAATTTTTAAAATTTATAAAAATTGGTTTAGTTTTTGTTTTTATTTTAAAAAAATTGTAAGTACAAAAAAGTTGATTTCGTTTTCTATTTATTTATTTATTTTCGTTTCTTTTTCTTTCTTTCACTTTTTTTTTATTACCACCCATTACTCTTCTATCCCGATCTATCCTTGCCTTAATTTTATTTATTAAATATATTTGTATAATTTAATTTTTCTAATATAATAAAACTAAAATATCAAAATATAACATTTAATATTCATTTTTACTTATTTACATATTTTTACTCTCGTTAATTATAAATTATTATCTATAATATATTATATTTTATTATATTATATTATCTTTAATTTTTTATTTTTAAAGTTACAAAGCTAACCTATCCCCCACGGATATGACATGGGATGGGAGTGGTGGACGACTAATTCGTTCTAAATCTGTGTCCTTGCCATTCTTTTTCAACTACCTTCAACCATCATATCCCCCAACTGCTAACCACCTTTCATTGCCACCAACCACCTCTTATTGGTGGTAACCATTTTTGGCCACCACTTTTTATTAAAAACTACTTTCAACTATCAATTTAGGCAGCTGCCGGCCATCATGACTGACCATTGATAATCACTTTCGACTAACATTTTTGTGGCCAATAACTACCTCTAGCCATTGTCAACTGCCTCTTACCGGTGACAACCACTTTTAGCCATTACCTCCTGTTACCAACAACCACCTTAGCCTATCATCGACAATCATCTTTCGTAGCCTCCATTTTCACTTGTTTTCAAAATAAAATTTTAAAATGCTTATGTACCAAACACGTTTTTTGTTTTCATTTTTACTGGAAATAAGCATAAACGTGCTTAATATTTTTTATAAATAAAAAATAATAAACTATAAACTTTTCCAAATAGTACCATAGGTCATGTTTGTTTTGCAGATTGGGGGTGAAATTGGAATAGTAAGGAGGTGAGTCCCTCTATAGCTTGTTTGGGGGCTTCCTTGTGGAGGGGGATTGCTACTCCAAGTAGAGTATTACTCCCACACACCCCAACAGGATTAAGTTGCCCTCATATGGGCTGAGATTGAAAAAATAGTATGGGGATTAGGATGCACTTTTCTTTTTCTTTTTTTTTTCTTTTTGTTTTTTGTTTTTTGTTTTTTGTTTTTTAAAACCCAAGCACAACTTATTATTTGTAAAAAAAATTATATTTTTTTTAGAATTTTTTTTAATATAGAAATATTTTATTTTTATTTTATATTAAAATTATTTAACAATTCCATCACTAATCATCTCTCTCATTATCATTAAAACAAACACACTTTTACTTAATTCCTTCATTAACAATCCTCACATTAACAATCTCTTCATTAACCATCCCCTCACCAACAATCCCATCCACCTTAATCTGCCAAACAAACGTGACCTTAGTTTTTTGTTTTGTTTTGATTGTTTTCTCATCAACCTATCAATTTTTAATGTTGTACTAGTAAATGATTGGGTTTACTCTTCGGAACCAATGTAGTTGGAATCTTCAGTTTCACTTTGATGCTTTTGCATTATCTTCTTTATTCACTGCTGGAAATTAGGCTTTCAGCGCTATAGGTACTAAAAACGTCGCTAATTCTTTTTGTGACGTTTAGTACCCAATGCCGACAACGTGGCCGTCACTATAGCTTTATGGCGTTTGGAAAACGTCGTTGTATTAGTATGGGCGGCGTTTCTAAAAACGCCGCCAAATGTCCTACTCCTACCCTAACGGTACTGTGACGTTATTATGGTTTTAACTATGTTTTTAAAACGCCGTCATATGTTTTTCTAATTTTAAAAATTCCAACCGTTATAGTGGCGTTTTAGAAACGCCGTCTTATCTTTTTTTTTTGTTGTTGAAATTGTGCAAATTTTATGTGATTGAACTAAAGAACACCTGTAATAAAACTAAACAGCACTAATATGAAATAATATTCAAATAGCAAATACAGTATTAATTTACTTTCCCATTCAATTTAATATCCAATCACCATTACCCAAAAAATAACATATCCAAAATTGAATTTACAATTCTCAATCAAAAAATTACTACCTTATATACATAGCAACAAAATAACATTACCCTCTTCTCTCTCACCACTCCCCCATTTAACACAAAAAATAAGAAGAAAGTGAACCAAAACACCCCACCCCCCAGTCAGATCAGAGGAAAAAAAGAAAAAAGAAGAAATAAAAATCCAAAGGATTTTAACACAAAATATGAAGAAAGTGAACCAAAACACCAACCCCCATCCATCCTTCATTGTCATTCTGAATCGCTCTCCATGCTGCTTTCCATGGCCTTCAATCCTCTCGGTCTCTGCCAATTGTAAAACATAATAATAATAAAAACAAAGCCAATAAAAGATGTGTAGTGAATAGATAACAAAAATAAATATGAGAAGTTCAAGCTACTGAATGTTATTTTAAATAGTCACCCTTCCTAGTTTATAACAATGCGGACCACATGGTATATGTTCCTCATCTGGAAAGCTCCATGAAAGTTGTTTCTCAGCTTGACAATTGATAAATTACTGAATAAAAGTCCTCAGCAATAGCAGACAACTACAATTTTTATAACAATGATAACCAAAATCAAGCAACCAACTTACTGGAAAGACAAGATCCTGGGAACATCCATGCAGCCTACAATCAAAGAGCTACCAACAAAAACAGCAAGAGTACAGAGGCAGTTATAGGACAATGGCACTAAACAACATAGAGAATTAGAAAGCATGAAACGGTGCTTACAAGACATCGATGACAAAATAGGTTGTGAAAAGAATCAAGAGTTGCTTCAAGATCTTTATCAAGAAATGAATTCCCAGGGCCCTCCACAGAATTCTCTCCCTTACTAAGAACTTCGTATATCTCTCCTGTATGAGATGTTTGATGGTGGTTCATATCTCTGTCCAGCCAGCACAAAACAAATGGGAAACAGCTGGACCAGAGTTTTCACTATGACTAGTTTTATTAGATAAAAATGGGAGAAGACTGAGCAGCACCACAAAAAAGCAAAAACATTTATTCAATAGACACTAGAATTAAGACCAACGTAAGTCTCACATGAAGGGCATACTGAATACCTTGATTTCAGAAGGTTTTTTGGAAAAACACTGCACCAATGCGTCCAATGCAGCATCAGATAAACCAACTTCTTTGATGGCCATTCTAGAAAAACAAAATTGAAGGGATCAAAAAAGAGGAATAGCAAGAACATTCACAAATATTTACTTGTTTATGCAGTCTGTTAATAAGAAACAAGTAAATATCATATAGCACAACACTAATAATTTCAAATGTCAAACATATAAACATCAAAGCTAGATCATTTGCTAAGGTTTGTCAAAAACCTAGATTAAGAATTTAAAAATAAATAATAGATGTGAGTCTGTGACACACATCTGCACTAGCTTAGAGAAGATTTCAGGGGGAAGGTATTCACAATCCTTGAATAATGATCTGAAAATGCCTACATTTAATAAGAAGAAGTATTTAAAAGGTGAACAGTGAGATGACTACTAAGTGAATCCACAATCTATCATTCAATAAGAGGCTTAAGTTGTATATTAGCTCTAGGCTATTTAAAGTAATAAATCCAATTTCTGATACCCTTGTACTCCTTTCTACTAACAACACAACATCAATAAGGAAAGAAGAAGTTAAATAGCCATGGCAATGCCAAATAGTTGTAAATTGCGAGATCTCGTTCCTATATTAAACTTTCACATTTTCTCCGGATGACTCATTTTAGATATATATTCGCAAGACACAAATAAGCAAGCAAACATGCAGGAAAGATTTTTCACAATTTGCTCATGTTCAAAGACTCATCATGCAGTGTTACCATTGGAATTGTATGAATTCTAGATTTAATTATAGCAAACTAGGTTCTTAAGTTAAGAACAGAAACTTTGGTTTTTTTTCCCCCAACAGGTAAGCAATTGACAGCCAAAAACATATAAAGGATGAGCAATTACAGACAAATTTTCTTAAATAGGTTGGGTTGCTATCAACTCTAATTTAACTCAAATCCAACCCTCCATTTACCAATCTGGAAGCTCAAGCACAAAATTATATGCACATATACAAACATGAGAGAGAGAGAGAGAGAGAGAGAGAGAGAGAGAGAGAGAGAGAAATAAACAAATCAAATCCAGCTGTAATGCAGGGGTTATCTAAGTCATGAGTTTACCCTTACTGGTGCAACAAGCCACCAATATGCTTTAACTTAAGAAACATGTTCAACTAACATCCAATAAGAATGTAATATACTATTCATTAAAAAGAAGAAATATAGGAGAAAGTGAAAAACATTCCAAAGCACTTACAACAAATCTCAAAAGAAGACATGATTTTCCAACTCCAGAATCTCTAATCAGCAAAAGCTTGAACAAGTAGTCACTGCAAATGACAAAAGGAATAATAACCTTTTCTTTTTAAACTCGGCTGAAAAATTACAAAATACTTAACCAGGGAATACACCTTCAACATTTAATTGAATAATATAGGCCTATGGTGAATATAAAAAAAAGAGTAATCATTTTCCACAAAACAGATATTTCCTGTAGTGAAGGAATGCTCATTTATTAATGCAAAAGCAAATATACCAACATAAGAAAATGTACTGAGCTCCAAAAGCAACCATAAGTTACTTATTTAGCAGTAGTACCAACATAAATGTGCAATGTCAATGAGGTAGTGCAATGGAAAAGGTGATGGTCAAACGTACTTGCATATATCACATATCATTTTCACTCTCCTTCTCCAGTTGAGTTTTTTTTTTAAGCCTACTCACATGGATTAAATGATACAATGATCCCATTTCCATGTATTCAGTCACTGTGGACAGCCGAGGAGGTTTTGTGCAGGCACCAAGGAATAAAATAACTGCAAAAAAATGTATTATTTTCTTCATATCTGTCACGACCCAAACCCACCCCTATGGGTTTAGCATCATAATTGGCCAGTAATCCGAGATTACCGAAGGCCTGCTTAACAGTAAGACAGTAATACAGAGTACAGGGGCTGGCGGAAGCCAAAACAGTAAATGAAAGATGTCCAATGAGTTGTGATAGTCTGTATGCAAAAAGACTTTTTAAACATATACACATTCAAACCATAACAGTATGTACATACATTTACAAACGTTCGGGTTAGGGACCAAATCCTTACCATAACAGTACAGTACAGGTACACATATCATTCAGTCTATACAGTGTTACAAAACCAGATACAAAAGGGAAAAAACTAAAACACCCCAAAAAGCCCTAGCTTGAAGGACTTGGAACCTCGTAGTGAGGCACGTTGGTTGGCTTGACAAAACGGGAGTGTACCCTGATGCTTCTAGCAATGGTCTGGTGCCTGCACACCTACATATATATATGAGCAGTGAGCTAAAGCCCAGTGAATAACATATGCGTAAAGAGGTTAAGAATGAATGTCCTTTCAGTATTGAAAACAGTCATTTATCAGTATATCAGTCATTCAGTTTGTGGCTCATATTCATGCCATACAGTAATTCAGAAACTATAATAGTCATATGTGGTATATCCAATAGCAAAACAGTACAGTAGGTCTTAACAGATCGAACAGTCAATGATGGCCATCGTATCAGTAAACAGTAGTGGTTCCAAACATGGGAACCGACAAAGATCTCTGTAACAGTAGTAGTAACAGTTCAGTAGCAGTATATTGTTATGGATGCCACGAATACAGTTCACAAATAGGACAAACATTCATTCAGTAAACAATGTCATTTCATAAAGTAGTATAGTCATTTGTTCAAAAAATAATCTCAATTGAACATATCTTTACAACATTGTTACTCACAAAGTTCTGGGCTACAGATAAGCTAGAGCGTCTCCGGATGCCAACCCTACACAGTTACAGAGTGAACACACACTAAGCTACACAGTTGGGAAAATAATAACTTAATCCCTAATTTACCTCGGTGTGGTTCTACATCAATATCCTCATTAAGATGCCTTAAACTAGGCCTAAGAATGCCTAGAATGAAATGAGGATGCAAGGATGCACTTTAAAAACATTTTTAGAATTTTCAGAAAGCAGAGGTCCTGCTCGAGCGTGGGTTTCCCCGCTCGAGCGGACATGCAAACAAAAGTCTCCACTCAAGCGTAAACTTTCCTGCTTGAGCGGACTGTAAAAGTACTAGATGTGTGAAAATCACGCTCGATGGGCGCTCGACACCTGCTCGAGCGTGTGACACAAGTCCTCGCTCGAGCGTGCAAAACCCCGCTCGAGCGGACTGTAAACACAACAAAAGTGCTGGATACACGAATTTCCCACTCGAGCGCCACTTACCCCGCTCGAGCGGGAGTCCAAAATCTGGAATTTCCAGATTTGAACTTCAAGCTCAAACTTAATTCTAATGCATCAAATTCGATCTTTTTGGGCTAATTTTCTGGAAAACACTTTAAAACTCATAAAATAACATGATTCAAAGCTCAATTTGTAAAATCAAGGCCCAAAGGTGAGTCAATTAAACCCAATTTCAAACCAAACTCCAAGAACATACTTCAAATGTAACATGCATGTGTTCAATCAAATTCAAAGCTTCAATTACTTGCTCAAATGAGCTCAATTGCCTCAAAAACAAGATGAATTCATGGACTAAGCTCAAGATATGAACATGCATGTGAAATTTCATGAAGAACAACCTCAAAATGCAAGACCATGCACATGCATGCATGGATTAAGCTCCAATTCAACATTATTAGACTAACACAAGACTCAATTCATCCATAAATCAAGAACCATGCAAGAACTAACTTAAATACATTAATGAGAGGTTGAATATCCTACCTTGGGTTCTCAATTACAAGTTTAGAAGCTCAATTTGCCAATTATCTTCCAAAATCCATAAGCCTCCAAGCAAATCAAGATGAAACCAAGTTTTTCTCCTAGCTCTCTCTCTCTAGTCGGTTTGGTGCAAGCAAATGAGCTGAAGAAATGATGTATCTAATGTATAATTCAAGCCTCAAAATATGATATGAAGTGGGCCACTAAGTGGAAAAGTTATAAATAAGACAAACTCTTGTAATTAATCAATATTTAATCTAATTTAATCATACCCAATCACATTTCAATTAAATATACCATAAAATTACATAAATTCTAACGAGCATAAAACATTAAGCAAATCCGGAATCGGCCGCCGATAAGGCCTTCAATTAGAAGTTTAAACATAAAATACGAACAGATAGTTCAATGACAAACAGATAGAAATGCATTTAAACTAATACGTTCAATCAATCAGTTCAGGATTTCAGTCGATCAGTCAGTTAACATGCTTAATCATAGGTTAGCACTAATCAGTAGTGTTATCAGTAAACAGTGGTGAGGGTTGTTACAATATCACTACACTATAATTATTTCTGATATGAACATCAAAAGAATAAAATTGAGTGTTTTTTCCATTCACAAATCCTACAGTGTAAAGTGTAAACATAATATGGCAGAGTTAAGTTGATCAAACAAATGCAAGGCATTTCCATTTGGGTGGCGTAGACGGCTGTGTATGAAAACAAGAAAATAAAAGAAAAGAAAAGAAAAAATCAACCGCATGGACAAGAACAAAGTGGAAGAGGGGAAATATGAGAAGCTACGATTGCAAATAGATTAATTAAGACAAACCTTAGAATAGATATCTCATTGCAGAAGTCTTCGATGTTCTCAACAGTTAAATCTTGTTCAAGAAAAACTTTAATGGCAACATCTGTCCCATTCCAAATGCCACAAAAAACTTCTCTAAAAAACCCTAGAAGATTCAAAAAAAAAAAAAAATTCTAAAAGTCAAGTACCTAACACATGGGTGGATAAGAATCATGTGTTTCATAAATTGTTTTTTAACCCCTTAATTTTTAGAAGCTAAAGTTCTTTCCTTCCCTTCAAATTTTTTTCTATTTTTATTTTTGATTTTTTAAAAATAGATCATTAAGAGTTGTATAAAAAATAACACCAGATCAAAACCTTAAATGATTATAGTCTCATTGGCAAAGCTAAAGCCAAATTTTGATTAATTACAGAGCCATTTTGTCAATTTTTTTTTTTTTTGGATCTTAGGTTTGGGGAGGGATTTGTTGGGATTTTTTTGGGACTCCAGAGAAGTTCAATGTGGTGGGTTCATAGAAGCTATGGATTAATGTAAATATAGATAGGTATGCATGAAGGTAGATAGATGGATCAACATATGCTCATTGTGTAGTTGAGGGTTTTTATGCTATACAACCTAGGGAAAGTAGTTTACACAGACTCTGTATGTATATATGATTTTGTCTCTGTAAAAGAATATTGTTTCTTCAATAAACTCTCTTCTTAGCTTATCATTTATACATTGATTAGGTTCTTTAATCACCAAACCAAATCTTCATCAACTGAATCAGAACTCTCTATTATTTGTTTCTTACTACCAAAAAATTTATCAACAACTCCGATTGAGATCGAATAATTTTTTTTCCTACTTTCCGCTTTTTTCCCCTTTTTTCAAATCCATAACTACAACTATACAATAAAAAAATCCACACAAATTCACAATCCACAATGTTTTCAGAAATTAGAGTACATCAAGAATTATAGATTTTCCATTAAAGCACATAAATTAGAGACTATTCCAATTAGGAACACAAAAAATCACAATTAGGGCAAACTATATTCTTCCATTGAAATTTGTGTGTGTGTGTGTGTGTGTGTGTGTGGGAGAGAGAGAGAGAGAGAGAGACTGAAATGAAGAGTTTCAGAGAGAAACAGAGAGACGATGAAGCTTACCTTAGTAGACGATGGTGCAGATGGTGATGGCAGTGGAGCTTCGAAATCAAAACCGATTTGAATCTCTGCGAATGATAAGCATTTAGAGAGGGCTGAGAGAGAGAGAGAGAGAGCTCACCTACCTTGTTGGTGCAGATGGTGATGGCGGTGGAGCTTCAAAATCAAAATCAAAATCAAAATCAAAATCAAAATTGAAATCAAAGAAGGCGTGAGGACTCAAATTCAAAATAGGCTTCAAAATTGAGAGAGAGAATCACCGAAACATAAATTTCGAAATCGAAATCGAGAGAGATGAATCGATAAATAGATTCGTTGAGGGATATTCAAAATAGAGACATTCTGTTTAGAAAATCAAAATCAAAATTAGGGCATTTTGTATAGAGAGATGAATCGATAAATAGATGAGTGAGTAAGAGATTCGAAATTTTTATGAAGGCATTCTGCTGGAAAAGATTAGGGCATCTATTTAGAGAGAGAGAGAGAGCTATAGCGACCCCGGTCTTTTCCCATTTGATTATTGTATCCGGACTTAGGTTCCGTAGATTCTGTCTTTGAATAATTGTTGTTGTTGTCCTTTATTTTCTCATTTGAAATTATAGGATGTGTTGGGCAGGTTTGTTTCAGGTTGGTTGGGTTTAGAAACCAAGTGTTGCTGTCCAGGATTTTGGTTCTTCGCTCGAGCGAGGAGTTGGTCGCTCGAGCGAGAGATGGCGTCCAGTATTGACCTGTAGCTCTGCATTCTTGGCTCGAGCGAGATTTTCTTCGCTCGAGCGAGTTAGTTTGTTCTTCGCTCGAGCGATGGTTCCTTCGCTCGAGCATGAGTCTGGTTTCAGACCTGAGGGTTTGAGTGCTTCGCTCGATCGAGCTTTCTTTCGCTCGAGCGAGCTTTTGGGTTGTTGGCTCGAGCAAGGTTTCCTTGGCT